TGCCTCTACTATGGGGACTCACAAATTGTAGAGTTAGGACCACAGATTATCAGGGTGCCGTGTCGTGGCTCTGTGGCTTACGTATGTATTTGCAAATGTGTGCTAACTAAACCCCTGTTATAAACGCATACTGTTAGACAGGTTAATTTGGTTGTTAGCAGGCTGGCTGGCAAGTTGTCCAAGAACATTGTTCTCTCCCCCTTATTCACTAGTACTATTGATCTACCTGTGTACGATTGGCCTATCGTGTTTTTCCCAAACGATTAGTGCTGGAGGCTATAGCCGGCAATACTAATCATTGTTTTATGCTTGGAGAAGTCTCCCACAGGTGGAACACAATAGCTTCAAAGTCAGTGTTGATGGGGGAATTCCTCCCAAAGACATGCTGGTATGTTAATTGGATCCTGTTTAACTTGGCCCTAGTATGTGTATGTATGAATGTGTGTTAGGGACCTTAGATTGTATGCCCCTTGAGGGTTAGGGGCTGATGTGAATGTACAATATATGTAAAGTGCTGTATAAGTACCTGCAATAAATAAAATAAACTGTGCGTGTTTTCCCCAAGCTGTGTTCTCCTGCTGGGGTGTTTGCATTTGGCATTTTCTTTAATCCAAAATTTTATTGCAACTAGCCTCCGCCGCCGCACCACGCTGCACCTCCCCACATGTATGGAAAGATTAACATTTTCTTATTTACTCATTTTGCTTTGGTAAATATACCATATAAAACATTTTTTTTATAACTGTTCAACAAAAAATATATCTCTTGATCCTGTGTAGAGGTGTTCATCCATCAAAAGTTCTTCATCCATCAAAACTGCATGTAAATTAGGTCTGTTAGAATGAGGCAAAATCGAATGTTCTCAGGCAATATTCTCTTCAGATCGATTATATGACTAGGGAAAACGCTGCATTATAGCCACTATATGGAGTTGAGGGGCAATGTCAGTCAACTAGTGGGAGCATCCAAGCAGATACCGCCACTGTTCGGGCATTCTGACAGCCACAGATGCCTATTGCCAGATTACAATAGCTGGCAAGGGAGATTCCTTCATCCATGCTGCTTAGGGTGGGTGGGGGAATCAATAGATTTCTCTTGTTCAGCCTGCAGGCTTCCGAAATGTTTATGTATATGGTCAGCTGTACAAAGAGGTTTTGACTCTCTTGCAATGACCCTACACAAAGCAAAAACAAACAGGCAAGATAGCTCCTGGCGTGGCACATATATATACAACAAACAGGTTTCATTAGTAGTTTCCTTGTATTTTCTGGTTGAGGTAGGACTTTGTTTGTATATAACTTCTGCTTCAAATTTTTTACTGTACAGATGTTGTCATACATCATAAGATATTCTGGAGCTTCACAGTGCCTCATCATTCGCAGCTCTGAGTCATCTTTGTAGGAGTAACACATACCACACATATCCCAGTGCTAGGTAATGAATTCTGCATCTTCCTGACACACTCCTCCTGGAACCTACGCACTGACTAACACCTTTCCAAATTTGTGATTAACGGCAAGAATGTGTTAAAAACTCCACTCTATATTTATTTTATTTTATGTAGAGGAACTCTGGAGGAACATATGCAAGCATATCAACATAAGTCTTCCAGAAAAGGACCTTGAAGGGAAAATAACTAGTAAATGTGTAAAAATGATTCATTGGTGTGGAAAGAGGAGGTATGAAATGTTCCTTCTGAATTTCACAAGAGATACTGTAACTACAAATCCAGCATCAGCTGAAAAAACACACATGAGTGTCTTATGACCGTGAAAAAGAGAAGTAAAGGGGCTTGAATAGGTGGGTTGTAGTATCAGAGTCCTTAGTTTGATCTAGACAACGCAACTTTTTGTTGGTAGGAACAAGAGTCCATTGGTGTGTAGGTGGGTGGCCACCTGCACCCTAGGACAGGGCTTGAAAAAGCCGCTCGCCAAATGCGAGGAGAAATTCCTCTGTGGCAAGCGGTGAGCACTGATGAAGCTTGGAGCAACTGCACCTGCGCTCCAAGCCTTATTGAGAAGCCGAGTACCGGTTTACAACTTCCGGTTTCTGGCTTCTGTGGCACCGCCGCCGAGGGGACAAGTGCAGGAGAGGTCCGCTCTCCTCCGATGAGAGGACTCGGGGGGACAGTAAGTACTGTACACAACATTTCCTATCACTATAATGGAGTACAGGGGAGCTGGGATATACATTACTGTGTACAGTTTTATATTTCGGACTATTTATTCTAAATAAAAATGTAATTTCATAAGCTGTAAGGGGGCGTGGTTGGGGTGGGACGGGGGTGGGGCTGGGGGCGGACCTGGGAAAGGTTGGGTGGGGCAACTGGTGGCGAGTAAGTTTTGTGACCTGCTAGTAGGTCTGGACTCTAAATTTTAACCCCTGCCCTAGGAGCGCTGTTTTTACTTTGTCGGGCAGCAGTGCAGAAAGTGAAGCTGAGATCCAATGACCGCCCAGTCACTTCTTGGTTAGCTGGCATTAAGGAGAATTAAAGAGTTCCACCCGATTTTTTTATTTTTTCCCTATGTCTACATTACAGGTGGCCCAACAATGTTTGGCAGGTTATTTTTTTTCTTGCAAAGTTCTCATACCTTTTGCTGCCATAATAATTAAACTTATGTTGTATCTCACCGCGGCGAGGTATGTCATATCTGCCCACCCGTTGGTTCCTTGGATCAATGAGTCATCAATCCAAGGAATCAATGAGCATCCGCCGCTTGTTGCATCACAATATTTCCAACCACACTTGCCTTCCCCAGGTTGTCTTTTGATTGACAGGCCGCCATAACAACGGGGCGGGAACTTTCACCATAGCCGCCATTGTTAGGGCAACCTGCTGTAAACAAATTGCACCACGCAGTGTTCTTACTGCGCAGTCGCGAGATGAAAAGGTGAATGCTGGGACAGCCAGCAGCACTGAATACTGGAAGTATATGCTATGGGCTTCAGATGCCCACATCCTTCATGGAACCTGCCTGCTTCCGAGATCTATGTAAGATATTTTAGATTTAATAATTAACAAGCATGATATCAGACATAGCAGTAGTCTAATATTACAGTGCAGGTTGTAATAATTACGGGGGAGCTTTTTTTTAAAAAAAAATGTATGGGGATGGGAATTCCACTTTAAGGACAAAGTTCTTTTGTCCATACTTCTCCTGTAGGTCAGAAGAGTACACTCCGTTCTGCATTCCTGTGATCCACATTCAGCCAATAGTGAGCTAAAGTCCCCTGTTGTCTGACATCACAGAGCAGGTCCAGGCTCTGCTGGGATCCCGACTTTAATGTCAGGATCCACACAGATGCCAGGATCCACACAGCTGCCAGCTAGCTCAGCCTCTCAGTGTGCTGCTGAAAGCCTGAGCCAGTTGATCCAGATTCCTCCACAGCCCAATTTTTAGTGAGTGCTGGAGAGGCGGAGCAGAGAGCCAGTGTCTGAAAGTCACCGGTTCTCTGCTCACCGGAGACCAAGAACTGAGCAATCAGCAGTCTTTTATCACTCAGTTTTTGGTCTTAGAGGTGGCAGGGGACAGATTCAGCACTGGACCAATTCTGCATCTACCTAGATGAGTTAGAAGGCTTGTTTTATTTCAAATCCTATACTTCTCTTTTTAGTAAACAAAGCAATCACATAATTGCTGTCTACTACTGGAGCCAAGGGAAGCCTGGCAGAGGACTAATGTGTCCTCTGCCATGGACACTGAAGGCCGTCTTGAAAGAGCCTTTGTCTAATTAGACATAGGAGTTGATTTACTAAAGACAAATAGACTGTGCACTTTGCACTAATTTTCCCCAGAGCATAATGAATGTAATGAAGGTTCACTTTGTAAAGAATACCCAAGGAATATGAAAAAAACTGCAGTTTTGCCTCCAATTGATTGGATGATTGAAATCAGCAGAGCTTCACAACATTTACTAGGCTCTGGGTAAAATGAGCACAACTGCACTTGCACAGTTCACAGTTTATTTTCCTTTAGTAAATCAACCCCACAGAGTTCTTTTGAGATTTTGGGGTCCATCTTGGACACAGAGGGGATTTATATCCCCTTTGTGCCACTAGAGCACACTCAGAAGGGTGGTAAGTTAGAGAAAGGGACAGGAACCCACCTGTTAGGGAGAGTTGGCATTTAGCAACAGGTATAGGTTCCAGGTGAGGAGGCAAGGTCCTGGCTTCAGTTTCAAGCAGAGCTAATCCCTCCAATCCTCCTATGTACATGAGGCAGACATAGTTGTTAAGTACTTTTGCACGCTCTGATTCCTGTTGGTATCGGTTTAATTTGAAAAATATCTTTTTTCCAAGCATTTGTTTAATTTTCTCTTGATACAGGTTAGTCACACTTTATGCACTGTTTATGCTATGTTTGATCAGTTTTGTGTTTGTTCTGACATTCACTTTCTCTGTTTAGCATTTTATATGTTAGTAACGGTAATTCTCTAATAAAAATTGATGTGCTTTTCCATGTGGCATGCGCTGCCACTATAAAGAAAGTAATTATCTGTACAATGCGATCCAGTTCTGTTTTACACATTAAACTCAGAATGAGCAAGTGAGCAACGTGTGCTTTGTGCTCTCCTCTTGATGCAGATACTGCAGCCTGCATCTTTGTCATACCTCTCACTCAGATCACTGATAATCCTGTAACATTTGGGGGCTTCGTCTATATTTTTTGCAGGAGAATATCAAGTGAAACAAATAGCTATTCACCTTGAAAAGTATGTTTTGGTCACATAGTTATATGATATAGGATAATATATTTTGAATAATTATTCTTCTATTATTATCTATGCGCTGCTCTCTTTGATTACAATCTGTAGATTATCTGGTATCAGGATAATTGTGCGAGCTGTTTTACATTTTATTAAGAATTAGCGCAGATTTTTTTCTATATTTTTATGATAATGGAAAATACTCTGGCCAAGCAAATGAACAAAACGTCCAAACTCTAAATGTAGCTAAAAGCGGTGCAGCGTTTACACGCATTTTTTCTGCATTTAGAATTTTTCTGCTACCAGGAGAGAGCTAAACATCTACAAGAGTTCATGTGTGCATGTAGCCTAGAAGCAGGGGCGGACTGACCATTTGGAAACTCGGGCACTGCCCGAGGGCCCGGGGTCAGTAGGGGGCCCCATGAGATGCCCCTGGTACTTTTTTCATAGGCTTTTTTCAGTTTGGGAAAGGACGCAGGGGCCCCATCATCCCCTATTGCCCGGGGGGCCCATGAGTTGTCAGTCCGCCCCTGCCTAGAAGTATCTAAAAGTTTGGCTAAAATATTTTGGTGCTAAAAGGTTCATGGAGAGAAGGTCAGGTTTCCTCTTTGGGTTGGTGGTCTGTGAGCAAGGCTGTGTGCTCTCTAATCTGACCATGTCTGCATTCCTCAGATATCAGGCCCTTGTAGTCACTGGCACGAGTTGGGGGCTGGGACATTTCATCACTTTATCCCAGCAGGACCACACTACTATCCAGTGCGCTGTTTTGATTTCTGCTGTGTATCCGGCTCAGCACACAGAAGAGCGATCCGAGAAAAATGAAGGGGCAGCTCTGGGTTTGCAGCTCTTGTTTACAATATACACAATTTCAGAAAGAAATTACCAGCGTGAAACTTCTGCTGAAAGAGCAAATTCTTCCAGAAAAAAAATAGTGTACAGATTATTCTGAGCCTTGTCCGTCCCCCAGACACTCCTCACTCACCTCTCTGTGCTGGCAGACATGTATACAGAATGTAGGAATGTAGTGACCCCAGGAGTTCCCTTTCATGTAATCAGCTTCATTATTGACTCCATCCCAGGAACATATAAAAAGGTTTCTACATGGATTATAGCATGCCGGCTTTGTGGGTTCACTCTTTTATCTTTCATTTCTGAAGTCCTGGGTTCAGTTTGCACCTGAGGTACAATCTGCATGAAATTATTATTATTATTATTATTATTATACAGGATTTATATAGCGCCAACAGTTTGCGCAGCGCTTTACAATATAAAGGGAGACAGTACATTTACAATACATTTCAGGACAGAAGGAATAGAAGGGTCCTGGTCGTGGAGCTTACAATCTAAAGGAAGGGGGAGGTGGTACAAAAGGTGATAGCTGCACGGGATGATCTGATGGAAGTGGCTCAAGAACAGTTCTTAGGTGGAGGTGGGGTAGGCGTCCCTGAATAAGTGAGTTTTCAAAGATCGTCTAAAGGCAAACAGAGTGGGGGCTGACCGGACATGCTATGGTAGGGAGTTCCAGAGGATGGCCTGAAAGCGAGTGTGAGAGGAGGTGACAAGGGAGCTAGAGAGCAAGATGTCTTGGGAGGAGCGGAGCGGGCGATTTGGATGATATCTGTGGATGAGGTTGGTGATGTAGCTAGGGGCAGTATTGCGGATGGCTTTGTATGTTGTGGTTAGTATTTTTAATTTTTTACGTTGGGTTAGTGGAAGCCAATGAAGGGATTGGCAGAGAGGGGCAGCAGTCGCTGATCATTTGGTAAGGTGTATGAGTCTAGCAGCAGCATTCATAATAGACTGAAGGGAGGGTAATCTGTCTAACAGTGCAAGAGAGTGGCTGCTCTCGTGGGTCTCTGCATCCTCATTTACTGAGAGACAGCAGTTGGAGTCATTGGCTCCCGTGACTGTCAAACAGAGCCTGTGAGGAGGGAGCAGAGGAAGAGCTGCACTCCGTTCTACGTGTCTTATGTCTGTGTATTTTATGGACATTCAGAGCAGGGCTCGGGAGCAAGCACGCGCAAGTGCCCCCAGAGCAAGAGGCTTGCTATGAGGGCACTTGGAGAAAAGGAGAAGCCAGGAGCGCAGGCAGGTGACTCATAAAAAGGTGGATTGGGGCTGCTCTGTGCAAAACCACTGCACAGAGCAAGTAGGAATAACATGTTTGATTGTAAGCTCGAAAGAGCAGGGCCCTCAATCCCCTCATGTTTTGCATTGTATTGGTATTGTTCTGTCACATGTTCTGTCCCCCTTTGTAATGTACAGCGCTGAGCGAACTATTGGCGCTTTATAAATACTGTATAATAATAATAATAATAATGTTTGTTTGTTTGGTTTTTTTAATTCTACCTTTAACCACTGGCCCTCCTGAGGACTTACCCCCTTCGTGACCAGGCCATTTTTTGGGTTACGGCGCTGCATTAATTTAACTGACAATTGCGCGGTTATGCAATGCTGCGCCCAAATGAAATTTACGTCCTTTTTTCCCACTAATTGAGCTTTTTTCTGTGGTATTTTATCACCTGTGCATTTTTTATTTTTTGCGCTATAAAAAGAAAAAACCGACAATTTTGAGAAAAAAAAACAATATTTTTGACTTTTTGCTATTAAACATATCCAGTTGAAAAATGTAAAAAATCTATTAACATCATCAATTTTAGGCCAAAATGTATTCTGTTAAAAAAAAAATCCAAATATATGTAAATTAATTGGTTTATGTGAAACTTGTAGCATTTACAAATGGCAGTAAATATGCTTGGATTTTTCGTTTTTTTATTTTTACTAGTAAAAGTGGCGATCAGCGACTTATAGCGGGACTGCGGTGGGCATTCTGACACGGGGGGGAACTGACTTGGTGTCACTGACATCCCCAGTGACACCAATACAGAGATCAATGCTAATAAAAAGCACTGACATTGTACTAATGGCACTGGGCCGGAAGGGGTTAACATGTGCGGTGATCAAAGGGTTAACTGTGTGTTTAAACTGTGTGGCTGTGTTTGTGCTTCACTGTAAGCACACTGCTTTGTATGGCTGCGCATAGCAGTGTGCAGGAGCTGACAGGGGAGAGAACTGTTTTGTTTACAAACAGTTCTTCCCCACCCTCCCCCGTTGGAGATGCTCGGCAAACACTGAGCGCTGGCAAGTAATCACCGGCCAGGACATGGTGATTGACGGCTGCGGCCATGAACTCCCCGGAAATGCAAAATAACGTATATATATGTGATTGTGTGCTCCCGTGCCGCCCTGTAACAGTACTTCTGCTATAGGGCTGGCGGGAAGCGGTTAATATCATTTTAACACCAAAAAGATAATCTTATGGGTCCTGCACTATTTTTCCACTTTCCTTGAGAGTCAAGGGCTTTAACCCCTTCACGTCGACGTCACACAAATATGTGGCCTCACGGAACTGGGCTTTTTTCCATGGGGCCACATATTTGCTTACCTGTCTTTGTGCTGGGAGCGCGCCGCACAGCGCACTTCCAACACAAAGACCGCGGTGTCACTGAGAGCCTGACGATCGGGACTCAGGACTCCCGATTCTGGGTCACATGAACGCTATGATAGCCTTTGATTGGCTATCACAGTGACCAGTCACTGTACAGACCAACCCCCTTGTTTTTTTTCTCTCTCTATGAATGGATATATTTTATCTCTCTATCTCCTGTCATAGAGGGGAAAAAATGTTTGTTAAAAAAAGATAGATAAATAAATATTAAAAAATAAAATAAAAAATAAAGAAAAAATAGCTAGATCAAGGTTTGATCTAGTTCAGTGTCAGGGTTAGTGTTTGGGTCAAGGTCAAAAGGTCAGGGTCAAAGGTCAGTTTTTTTTTTTTTTTTTAAATTGGTATTAGTGTCAGTTAGTGTCAGGGTGTTTTAGGTAAACAAAAAACAAAATGTGCACTATTGTTTCTGGGCTGTACTACGGGTACAAACAACAAATAACATACACATATGTGTTATCACTGCGATCATCAAGAGCTGGAAAATTTATTTTGGGTTGTTCTTTGGTGGTAGGTTATGGTAGTAACAAGAAACACACAGTTAAATTAAAAGAATTTTTTTTTCTTTTTTATTTTGGCCCAGTTTTCCTTTGATAATAAAAAATAAAAATCAGGAGATATTATTACCACCAAATGAAAGCCTAATTTGTCCTGAAAAAAAACAAGGCATAATTCACCTGGATGTACAAAGTAGTTGTGATGATATGTACAGTTTTACTAACACGTGTCAAAGTTGCAAAATTGTGCTTAGGCATTAAAATTTGTTTTACCCTTAGGCGTGAAGGGGTTAAGCTCATGTGAAATCTGTCTGCTGCTGCTGCCCTCAATTCCTGAGAGTGCATAGAATTGCTAAAAAGAAGATATACAACCCAGCAAAATCTATTTCTGGACAGACCCGTCTATAAAGTATTTTTCTACATTGTTTTTTCTTTAAACTTCCTTTTAAAAGCATAACTTTTTGCCAAACTGTGCGCCAAAGTGTGAGAGATCAGATGTTTTATTAAAGTTCTAATTAGCCCGGCATACCAAATGACACATTGATGAGTGCTGCCATTAATCAGAACTCTTGGACTTTATCCACTGACTAAAGTCATGTTTTCTCTGCATGCCCCTCCCTGCTATATGAGCGCTCTGTAATCCTTGTGTTAGTAACACTTTATAGAACATAACATAATATTTGTATAGGGATATTTGCACTTGATTTTTTTTTCAACTGCAAATGTAACTAAACAGGGTACTCCCAGAGCAGAGAATGATAATGTATCAATCATGGTATGCATACTTTTGTACATTGACATAACACTGGATGTTTGAGATTGTGTGCAGGAATTCCAGGAAACCAGTTTTGTGCTGAGCTCCTGTACATAGCAAGTAAATTTAAAATAACTCATATGTTGAAGAACAATTCTAGGCAAGCGTGAACTCTATTAGTCAACGGCCATTGCTGACAGGAAGTATTGCATCTGTGCTAAAGTCAGAAAGTCCACTCATTTACTGTAATCTGTGCTGTAAAGCTAGCCATACACATTTATACAAAAATCATTTGATACCTACAAGCACGCTAAACAGTGTGGATGGAGGAATATCTACTACTGCATATTAGCTGTGGTTTCCTGAACACCTGAACAGCGAATGCATCTGATAGTATGCAGTCATTGTTTGTCTGATAATTCTGCACCTGGCTCAGTCCATTTTTAAATTGGCTTTTGTCAACGATAATGCTAACAGAGCCACCCAAGGCTTGACATTCTGCCTATCCAGCAGAAATCAGTCCAAATATGAGTAGTGTTTAGCTAGTTTAACTGCTTGCTAACGTGACACAGTACTGCATACAGGTGGATAGTACAGGCACAGTAATGTACCTGTACATCGCGGTATTCTTCCGGGTTGAGGGCTTGTGCGCCCCCCCACCTGCTGATCCGCTGTGTCCAATTACAGCCTAGAGCCCTGTGTTGACAAACAGCACAGGGCTCTATACAGTGGGAACAATACCTGTGTGTCTTCTGCCTCTAAAGCAGGCAGAAGAAAGAAAGCAATCTTTAGTAAAAAGCAGCACACCTTAATTCTTGTTAGGCACACAACCCTTGATTACCCTGAGATATTAACCTCTTCCCAGCTAGTATTATTAGTACAGTGACAGTGTATAGTATTATTACTCATCACTGTATTAGTGTCACTGGTGATGTCAATGTCATTTAGTCAGTTCCTACCCAGTGTCAGTTAGTGTCAGAATGCCCACCATGCTATCACAGTCCCACTATAAGTCGCTGATCACCACCATTACTAGTATAAATTAAAACAAATAAAAATTCCAGTATATATACCATAGTTTGTAGACACTATAACTTTCACACAAACCAATTAATATATACTTATTGGGATTTGTTTTTATCAAGGACATATAACCTATATATAAATACATTTAGGCCTACATTTATAAAGACATTTTATTTTATTTGGGATATGTTTTATAACAGAAAATAGAAAATATTGGGATTTTTTTTAAAGTTTTCAGCCTTTTTTTTTATATAATAACAAAATAAAAACTTAATGGTAATCAAAAACCACCAAAAGAAAGCTCTAATTGTGTGAAAAGATTATAGCAATGTCATGTGTGTGCAGTGTTGCATGACCGTGCAGTGTTGCCAGTTAAAGTAGCTTAGTGCCGTATTGCAGAAAATGCCCTGGTTATGAAGGGAGGTAAAACCTTCTGGAGAAAAAGTGGTTAAACTCGGAATGAGCAGTGTAGCACTACCCCTGCAGGGGCCACTTGACAATGCTTGTCTCCACTGGTTGCCCTTGCAAGCCACCTAAAACCTCTGACACTCTGGGTTTGGACTTGATATGACTTTGGAGGGAGTGCCAAACATTCTGATCTTGCCATACAAGAGTAGAATTCTGTTCAAAAATTTTCATGTTCAGGATGTTCATTCAGTTTCTTAATGGTTAGTGGGGTCAGATCAATCATCTTTTTTTGACTGTAAAACATAGAAAATTGAAAGAAACAGGATGGAATTTTTTTCTTGTTTCTTATTTAAATAAAGAAAATTCTAACTGTGACTGTGAGTTATTCTAATTCGCATGTGCTAGGCAAAAAAGAAACCTATTTCATAAGTCTGAGATTTGATTCAAGTAGCAGATGTGGATGAAATTTTAAGGGCTTGCAAACTAATTTTTTCAGAATTTGGAATTAAAGTTAAACAAAATTCTGCTGGTATATGCTCAGCTATAGAAGCTAATATGAGAAAAATAGCAAGGAGCCTGCAATAGGTGTGTCTGGGTCTGGGAATACCTTTCATGCCTTACAAACAGCTAACAAAAAAGGTTCCAAAATCTTCAGATAAGGAACAAAAGAAATTGGAATGAACTGGTGCCTTACAACAATGTCTGGATGAAAATCTGATGCATTGAGCAGGTACGCTGTGTTCTCTGTATATAATTCAAGATTTCTTTCCCTATATTGAATGGAGTGCACCTGCATAACTCCCAGCCTGGGATGGAAATGAGGGACACCTATTAGCAAAAGTATGTAGGCATAGGACACCCCCCCTGCCACAACCCCCTTAAAGGAGAGTTATAAAAAACAATTGTACAAATGCAGCAATTTAGAAATTGGATAAACAGTTTAGTACTGTAAAACACTTTTTGATAAATAAATAGTGCATTTTATTAACAACTATATAGATCAGACCAAAATGAGGGACAAATGAGGTCGAAGAAGGGAAAGAAGAACTTTGTTCCAAATGAGGGAGAATCCCTCAAAATCAGGGACATTTGGGAGCTATGTACCTGTTCGGTGGTTTTCCCATTCAGCACTCCACTGTTCAGTGCCTCCAACCCCAGTTTAGCCCAATAAACTCCGTAGAATATCTCTTTGCCTGCACCCTGGCCTACTCCCAAATATACCTCTTTCCTCCTACCTCCAGCTCTGCAGTTGAGTGTCTCAGGAAATACAAATTCGGAATTCCTGATCCCTGGATCCAAAGTGTTTCTTGGTATTTTGCAAACAGTATGTTGTATTTAGGTATTTTTTAAAATGTAAATTTTTTAACTAATGTACAGTATTTTTATCTGCCCCTAACTGCTTAACTATGCGAGTACTAGCCTTCAGAGGGCTCTGAGGAAGAGGCAAGTCCTCGAAATGCGTTAGCCTGTTGGAAGTCCAGGATTTCCATTGCGGACAGATACGTAGTGTGGATTGGACAGTGCTGTTCTTTCATGATGTGCCTTTGACAATAATGTTGTTTGTGCGTACAATACCTATTTTTATTGCTTTAAAAAATGCTTTTTAAGGTAATGCACTAGGCGTGCGCCTCTGTTTGTTTCCTTTTTATCCTCCTAAATACTCACCAGAGCTTGATCTTGGTCCAGCGCTGTGCACTCTGTAGCAGCTCTTCTCCTGTCTCCTTGCTCTCATAGGCTTGGTTGTAAACAGCAGGAGCAGTTGGCTCCTGCCGCTGTCAGTCAAAACCCATGAGCAGAGAGCAGGAGGAGGGCCAAGGTGGGCTGTGTGTCTGAGTAGATGCAAACAGCTCGGTTCGGAACTTAGCTCATACCAGTGGCCCCATAGGAAGCCGCTTCCTATGGGGCAGTTGTTGGGGGGGACTCAAAAAGAGGAGGATTGAGGCTGCTCTATGCAAAATCAGTGAGCATAGCAGGTAAGTATGACATGTTTATTATTTTAATGAAAAAAAATGAACCTTTAGTATCACTTTAAAGGTGTGATAAAGGTTTAGAAGGGCAGTATTTTGAAAATGACACTGAGATCAAGAATATGGGGGACATGACCTCAAACTGAAAGGAAGAAAGTTCAAAACTAACCCTAGAAAGTATTACTTACCAAAAGAGTAGGGGCTGCTTGGAACAGACTTCCAGCAGAGGTGAAACTGTCAACAATCAGTAAATTTAAACATACTCAGGATAAACATAGATCTGTAATCAGACAAAAAGGTAAAAAAAAACCCAAAAAACACTTTCTTTTTCTTCTATCATTTTTCTACGTTTTTACATTTCTATATATGTAAAAAGTCAAACCGCACTTCAATATATTACTGAACTTACTGCATAACCTGGCATACATCCCCATGCACTTTCATACCCAGCACTTTCATCCAGAAATAGCCAGCACTTGGCCCAGATTAGCCAATAAAAGCACCAAGTTGATTTATTCATTGACAATGGCAAAACTCTTACCCATGTTGGGTCTTCATCCTGTATCAAAGTAATATACAACATATTTACAACAGAATTATATAGATCAGCACTAACTGAACTACTAATTAACTCCCTGTTTCAACTCATATGAGGTATGAAATGGAATCCAGAAAATCTGGAAAATGAATATGACATAGAGATATAAACAATAATATACAATAAAACAATTTGTAAAAAACCCATTTATTTTATCAGCGCCTACACTGAAGTGCAAAATGTAATTTCCATATATAAATAAACGGGGAAAAAGTAAACTTGCAATAAAACTCAATAAAGCATTCCCTGCAATTTGCCATCAATTATTCTGAATAAATAAATAGAATCTAGAGCCCAAGGTCTCTTTATGGTCCTGTACTGCTGCATGAATTTTTACCTGATTTTGTATAATATTGAATGTTATAAATTGCAGCTTACTGGACCTTTGATGTGGCTACTACATTAATTTTCTCTGTTTTAGGTGTCCTTTTTTTCATCTGGTAATACTGCAAATAACATACTTCCTGTTCTAGGATGGCTATACTCAATCCACTGTATCTATGGAGGAAGCCATGGCTGTAACCCAGGCCTCTCTCTTGATTTTGGCTACAAAAACATTTTCCTTTTTCCAGCTCCATTACATGGGATCAAGGAATCAGTAGCATACTGAAGATATCTTGGAAAAATGATAATGATGTTTGTGCTTTCAGTTAATTTTGCAGGAAGTTACAAGGGCACTGCATTACAGGAAGGTTCAACAGGTATTTTTGTATTTGCTGAAAATGAAAACTAAGCTGCCACCACATCTAAATATTGGTATCTTAAATATATTACTTTTTTGTAGTGATGCACTGATATATCGGCCTACGAAAATTATTGACCGAAAATAGTTATCAGAATTTTACCGAAAGAAAAAAAAAAAGTGTCGATAACAATAATTGACTTCAATACAAAATCGCGTCCTATTGACTTGACTGCAAAACACCTCCTATTGAAATCGTGTCCCCCTTGACTTCAATGCAAAATCAGGTCCCATTCACTTCAATGCAAAAATGCCCCCTATTTACTATGTTTTTAAAATTTATATTTATTTCATTTTATTTTCTGTACAATGTTTGTGTGTTACTTTCAATAAAAGTTATTTTAAGTTACTGGATTGTATTTTTTAAATTCATATTCATTTAAGTTCATTATATTGTTCAAAAGTTGAATATAATACAATTATATATAAAAACAATAAATATATATTTTTGAAAACTGTCCATTTTGGTTTCAGTGTTCGGCCAAATGCATCCTGAATTTTCGGTTTGGTGCACCACTACTTTTTTGTTCTTCGGTTTAGATATCCTTTAAATACCTTTTTAGTTGAGATGTGCTTATTGCCCTCCTACTATAGATGGGTTAGGGCCTGGCTTTTGTTGGCTTTAAACAAGTTTTGCATTCCCATACTGGTCCAGCAGGCTAGCAGAAGGTCAGCTGCAGGTCTAACCTACCAATGCATTATTAATTAATTTATTTATTACAGGTATTTCTATAGTGGCAAAAAATGAATGCAATACCTTACATATGGTATATGTCTTTTTGTTTGAACATGGTGTGCTGGTGATATCTTGAATTGTGACTTATGTGTTTGGTGGCACCATCAGCAATTATACCATAGCTTCCTTTTTTATTTGGATCTGATCACTGTGCAGCGCTACTCCCATAGGACCTGCAGGACATAGAGGATCTTTGCCGCACAGCCAGGTACATAGGCTCATTCACATATTTTTCCAATGACCAGTCTAGAGGTGTTGTTTTTGTTGTTTCTATTTTTGGAGAACTATGTACAGTTGAGGACTTTGGGTATTCTTTCAGATAAGCTGTGATGAAATCCATGCTTGAAGCAAACAGTATACTTCAGCTTTAACACAGTAGTAGTAACTACAGCATTGTCCTTTGAAGTAGGAGATTAAATGGACAAAGCTGTTTGGAACACCAGCAGGTGTCCTCTTTAGCTAAACCTGCAGCTGATTCCTTGGGCACCTGAGGGGGGTTATAGTAGCTCACAGTATTTAGGATCCTTTAGAAGTA